AAACAATATCTACAAAAATGTGTTGTTCTGCCAAAACTTTCTATGAAGCCACCTAAAGAATGACTGCCCAAATTATCCCCAACAAAAAATATAAGAGTTCCTTTCAATGTTTGGCCTGTTCGTACTCGCACTCCGTTTGTTTCAATAATTTTTAAACTCTGTACGAATTTTCCATAGACTTTCTCATGATCAAAATATTTTTCCCTACAAAAAGCAACTAGTTTTATATTACTAATATGTGACCGAAAATAATCGGGTATGTTTCCAAAGCTAGCATATATAACCAGTATTTTATATATCTTTTTGGCAGGTTCAATTGAACAGACGAACTCAAAAACGTCTTGATACCCTATGATTGTTAAAGCATCGGAATGGTTTTCCAAAAATACATTATTTCTTATAATAGTTCCATCATTAATATCTTTTAACATGGTACTTTCAAAATTCACCGAAACAGCAGATAAATTGTTTGCTATTGATTTATCTTTGAAAAAACACTTAATTGTTTTTTCTATTGGTACGTAGTGAAAGAATATTTTTTTACCATCTATAATTGTTAAAAGCTCTGCCTGAGGTTCTACATAATTAAAATATGTTTTGTAAAACTTTTTACGTTTATAATCGGTACTCAATCGATTGTGACTTGTCGAGAACAAATCACTTTTAAAAACATCATCGACAAGTTGAATTGATATGTCTGGCAATATTCCTTTTTCTATTAAATGGATTTGTAATTTTTTTTTTATCACGCTCTGACTTTCCTCATGATTATCGTACTGTCTAGATACGATGTATTGGATAGTACTCGCAGGAATCATGAATTGGCATTCCAATTTCATGTACAATTGAGCTACATTTGACAAGTATAAGTCTTCCATATTGTCATCAACTTTTTGAGAAATCACATTAGCATCGCTCGTGATTGGGTAACTGAATTTATGATTCTCCTGCATCATATCACACTCATTATAATCTACAATTTCAGCATGCAATTTGTCACTCCTTGAAAAAATTGATGATTCTCCTACAACAGTTCTGTGTCTCTTGGACCAATGTCCAGTAAAAGAACTCACATTATTATATGCTTTCTGACAATCTTTGTAAGGACATTTCACTTTTATATTATCATTCATATGGGCCTTTAAATGTTTCATAAGGACAGCAAAATTGTCTAGCTCTTTTTTGCATATTTCAAGTGTGCATATATACTTTGCTTGCTTATTTACCACATTATTCACAGAGTCAATTTGTATGTTTTGCTTAAACTGTACATTATGAACCCTTATCAAATGGTTCCTTAAGGAAGTTTTAAATTCAAAAAATTTTTGACAGTGTTCAAAACCACAATGAAACTTTGATGTAACATTTTTGTGATATTTTTGATGTTGCATAAAAGGTAGTATTTTTGCTGTCATAAAACTGCAGAAAGAACAGAAAAACATTTTCACAAATCTGGAAACAGAATGGAAAAAAATTATCAAAATGTGTTTGGATTTTTAATTTTCATGAAAAATGTATTTACTTTGAAACTCTTATAATAGAGGAATTGAAATATATATATATATATATATATATATATATATACTACTACTATAATAATAATATAT